CTAGATAAATATTATCTAGATGTGTGGATATGTCTTATCGACTGCTTCATAAAAGTTATGTAGTTTTCCGTGTAAAATATATTTACAGTTAGGTATTTTTTTCTTGAACAAACAAAATACTACACGATTACCAAATGGAACGGAATTTCTGGAGCGATGATTTCTTTCTGTACATAAATTGTGAAAGAACAAATTTTAAAAATCGAAAAAACAAATCAGTGTCTCAAATACTTACGAAAATACACCAGAATTTGCATGTACCCTTTTCTGACTCGAGTAAAACCACAATTTATCGATTTATCACACTATCGTTTCACTGATCACCGAATCTAATAGTGAAGATGTTAAATTGAACTGATGAGAGATTGATTTTGAGACATTAAGTCGACGTTCCATTTTATTTCTGCGACATGCGTTTCACAACCCTTCGATATTTGCCTTCCACACATCTATACACATATCGGACAAACAATCCAGAAAACCACAAATACACTTTCATTTGGTAGGATGAATATGACCCACTTTACTTATCTGTTTGTATCACTTATTAAAGTATCAAGACAATATCTCTCCTGAGATTATGACAGACGTGGTGCTGACAAAACTGTGTAGACAGACAGTGATACGACAATTCTCCGACATGACACGTACAGGTAAAAAAAAGCAGATATAAATGGGATGAACAACACTGAATTTTGATCAAACTCATGATAACTCATCATGCAATCGCTTTTTTTATGTCTTTTAGAATATTTTTAATTTCTCCCATAAAAATGGAGGTGCCCATTGAAATAAATTAAATAATAAACATTTTTGTTAAATGAATAATATGCATTTTTCTCCATCACAAACTTTCCAAGAGAGAAATATTTCAGTGGACATCTGGAAATGCGATTAGATCTTACAAACATTGGAAAAATCTCTTTAATATATCGCATTATTATTTATATCCCAATTGAAGACTGCACGGCCATCGTATTTGGAACGTCGCAAATCCATTTTTTATTTCAAGTGAATAGAATATATAATTTTTATTGTTGTATAATAATCTCGGAGCTGAATGTAATTCTTCTGAAATTGAATTGAGAAATACAAATGATTATGTATGAGAAAAATATGAGGAATATCATATTCTTGAGAAAAAATGTGTTTTCCTAAGTGAGGGGGAAATTAACTATTGGAGAATTTCCCTTAAAATTTCACGTCAAAAATAGGAAATTTTCAACAACAACAGAATTCTCCATTGGCCAATCAGTTGATTTTTTTAATATCCTGGTTTTTGTAAATTTTTAAGTTCATATGGAATGAAAAAATAATAAAAATAATGACAATTCAGTCAATAATTTCGCCGAATTCTTCTTCTACTGAAAATTCAAACTTTTATTGAAAAATCAACCATCATTTAATATAAATTTTCAGCATTTTCTTGAATTTTCTAGATAAATGAAAAATTCGATTATCTTTTTTGATAGCAATGGAATGACAACTCGTATAATCGATATAATAAGTGAAATTTGTTGAAATTCTTGAGAGTGAGCCTACGCTGGCGTCAGTCGTTTTTCAAAGCGGAGAATTGTACATTGTCATAAAGTATATAGATAATGTAATGAAGTACATCGAGCATGGAAGGCGCCGACTGGATTTCACGTAGGGTCCACGAGCTGGGCTTAGTACACAGCCATCTGTAGCATCACGATAGGATTATGCAAGGATTAAGGCATTTTACACCGTGCATCCACAAGCCCGTTAATAATAATAATCACATAACGTCACCGCGATACAATTTCCTGATAGAATTCCAGCCGCTCTTTTCACATTCTCTCTTGGAAAAAAATTTATAAAAAAAGCATTTTTTCGAGGTACACGTGAATTTTCCAGATACCTTTGTGTCCCTCCGGTAATTTCTCTTCTATTTTTTGCTAAAGGATTTTTTTTCCACGAGGATTTTACGACATCCCTCGAGGAAAAAATCCAGAGAAGCCAAGATATTCAAAAGAGGAAAGAATTTTTTCAAGTTTATTGGATTCTCAGTGAAAAGCAACGAAAATGAAAAATAAAAAGTTAAAACTGAAAGTCAATAAAAAGAGGAAAAATAGCGGGGATAATGGAAATAGACGTGAACGTCTAGTGAACTCCTCGCGTCCTCGTCCCACAAATTCCTGTGGCTCCAAGGATATTCGCGTTGCAGTATATAAGCAAGGCATAATACAAGTCAAGAGGTGGCTGTATAGGTACATGCTTTTGTGTGAAATACTAGTTGAGGGTCGTATGTTGAATATAATAGGTTGACACGAATGGTTCGCACGCCGGGACTAAACTAATGTGCCCCAGCGTGTTAGTACCCTATTGCCAGGCATCGTGCTGACATTATACATTACAATAACACATAGATATTGATATTATGCAATGTACAAAATTACACCAAGCGAATTTTCTCGAGTTTTTCCTACTAGTTAGCTGCATGTTTTTGAATCTCCATTGGCTGGAGTGACTCCGCTGTTGTTGCAAATTCGGTGTGGCGCGCGTGCATCAATGTTATGCAGATGAAGCAAGCGCCAACAAGAAAAAATAACGGCAATAAAAAATAAAATTCGGCAGAATAAAAATGAGCAGAGTTATGAAAAGGAGTGAGGCAAGACGGTAGCACGCGATATGGCAATTCTCCCTCTGTCGGTCTCACCAAAAATTATCAAATGTGAATAAAAACAGGAATTCACTCTGATGGCGAGATAATGCGACTTTACGAGGCTTTCAATATATGGATAATTGCTTTAGTGTTATTTAATGGTATTCTTACAAAATTTTTGGAAAATTGTAAGCATGGACTAATGACTGGGTGAAAATATGTATTTAGTAACTTCATTCATTAGTATTTGGATATTTCTAAACTTTCAATTTGTCCATTTAAAAGTGGAATTTGCGCTCTGCAATCGGCTTTTATGTTACAATGTGCATGCCATCCAAAGAACATTTGGCCGAATTTTTACCGATGTATGTACACTGCCCAAATCGATATACACATGCCAACTCTTTCATTCTCCAACGAGTAAAAACGACAAAGAAAGAGCAGAAATGTGTGTGGAGTTTTTCAAGAACCTGGGCTTCATTCCAAATGTACATGAACGCTAAAGAGTGATAGAGAGGAGAATCTCGCCAAAAGGGGCAGCATACAAACCATATTTATGGCGCCTGGCGTCTTAACCCTGTCCTTTTCAATTGTTCAGCATTGAATAAAGACGTTGTACTGTACCCAAAGCTCTCTTTGAAAATGCATAAGCTGAGTATCAACTTGCTTTACCCCCTTCCTGCCCTCTTCCTGGACACTTGATACTTGGGAGGTCAAAACGATTAGGCATTATCTCGTCCTGCACGATCCTTCCCTTCAGTTGCCAATGAGCCAGAGAAATCTCACCGGAAGTAAACAGCACGTTCACTGATGGATGACATTCAGTATAAGTCCCAGTATTACACTCGCTGATAGATTTCGGTGGACATAAAAAGTCGATGAGCCACTAAAGCACCATAACATCTCCACATAATTTTAAGCTTTTCCTAATTTTAAAACTTTAACCTTTAAAAAAAATTGTAAAATTTTTTACCGACTTTGTTACACGTCTATTTATATATGCTTGCATTAGTCATTATTGCCTTTATTTGTTATTATCTCACTATTATTATTATTGTATTTATCTATAAACATTCATTAAGGTTTGAATGTTGATCAGGATAAGTAATTGAATTGTGACATAAAGGCAATAGTTTTTGTCAATTTATTACGGTAGCCGTAGACGTTGAGCTGCTATAAATCATCATCTTCATTTTATTCGTCAATTTTCCGTCTTCTATTTCTTCCGCTTTGAAACAATGCACCAGTTTTTTCAATATCAGTAATAAACTCTTGCGTATCTAATCAAGAGTGCCTCATTGCACTCATAAACGTTTAAATGAACGCACAGAAAATGCATGAATCATATTCTTCCGTGAATGAGTTATCGTTCATAGGTTGGATTTTACGATGGAGTACATTAAGATAAAATCTGAGCTGTTCAAAGAGAAATAAAATGACTATTACCATTCCTGAAGGATATCCAAGCAGTTTAGGAAAGTATTTCTGAGGAAAATCCTCTTTAGTGTCTACAATAGACCAAGAGTATGTTTTATACGCAATATTCAACATTGAGGTAAAGCCAATGGGCGTCAAGTATAAAATTGAATGAAATCTTGTTCACAATGTTTATATGAATTTTTTCCCGGAGTTGACCTGAAAAATCGATTCAGATATTTTTCCACAATTTTTTTTCTATATTTCCATAGATTACCCAGAATTCTTCTAAAGAAAATCCGATTCAAATTGCAAAAAAAAACCCTATTAAGATGATATGTTGCCCCGAAAATTTCAAACCACTTTCCTAAATCGGATTTAAAAAATGGAATTTCTGTCGACTTATTAAAAATTTTACCCGACACCCTTAGGATCCCTTGAGATTGCCCGATTCGCTAATAATGATGAGGCAAAATTCCATCGGAGGAATTCGAACCGAGTTGAAAAAAAGGGATGAATAAAATTCCAGAATATCCCGGTTGTTGTCATATACACCGGGTATGGAGTGGATCGGACGAATCGTGCTGCCACGGTTACGTGGCGCGGCGGCCGGCGGCGATATCGCGTCGCGTCGTGAACGTCGACGCCGGCACGCATCTCCACCGCTCTGCAACCGTTCCCCCTCGTCATCCCCGTCCTCTTCATCCTCCTCATCCACCTCATCCACCTCATCCTCCTCATCCTCCTCATCCTCCTCACCCTCCTCACCGTTCTCGTCGTTCCAATCCTCTTCGCCCTTCTCGCCCTTGCTGTCCTCCCTCCACCTCCCACTCCTCGACGGAGGCGCTGCTCTCCTCCATCCTCGACGCCGGCTAGTCCGTCGGCAACGATCGGCCGCTCTCGGCTCTCTCCGCGCGCCATACCGTACCACAGAACGTCAGTCACTCTTCGGCGCTCGCGCGGAAGAGTATGCACTAGCCACTGGAATTATACTACTCCAAAAATTACCCATTTTCCGGCTCAAACGTTCGCGTTACATTGCGCGTCAAAAGACCACAATCCATGCCAAGTTGAAACACTGAAATAACGATAACAAGTGATTGAGTGTGTTAATAACGATCGTTTATTTTCGTGATTATTGTGTTAGGCAGCACACATTGTGAAGTACTGAGGAATAAAAATACCTCTCCATCAGATGCCCGGTACAACGTGCCTCATGCACACCGGGCAACTCCAGTGAATAATTCTCGTGGCTTCAACATTGTCACGAATTCAATGGAATGAAGCTGAAATAACAGTTCGCTGTGAAAACAAATGATATTAATTACTTACCCCTGTGTGACACGTTCGTACGCTTGAGATTGAATTGAAAAAAAGTGACGCATTTGCCGGCAGCCGGTTTCTCTACACGCGGCCATACAGTGCATATGATGGATACTTTTGTGAATTCAACGTTAATGAAACTCGGCGTCAACCAGACAGATCATTGTCACACTGTCTCCTTTAATATTGCCATCTTTCTCTGAGTTGTGTGGGCCAATTTGATACAACGTGTTTTTTCCCCCTTTATTTTATTTAATTTTATTTTCATCATTGAGTGTGGTGTGATGCTAGTGTGGTGATTTGGAGTGTAAAAAATAACGGTGGAGTTAAGGGCAGAGGGTGATATATTTTATACTCCTCGTTTCTATCGTCACTGGAGAAGCCAAAATAATTGTAAAAGGAGAAGTAAAAAGGGAGCAAGTATTTGTTTTGATATTCGATACTCCGGTGAAAGTGACGGCTTCGATGTTAGTCACGTGTATTGCGTGCCGGCGTATATTGTGCACGAGTTTTTTGTTAATCTCGTGTTGTGTTAAATTGCATTTATTCAGTTTGTGAGTGATTATTGTTGACCGGCGCGTGATTGAGTAAAAGATAGAAAGGTTGGTTTTAATTGGTTTGAAGTATAAAAAAATAAAAAGGAGTCATTGCAATCATGGATATCCTGCCGAGCGGGAACATATTCAGGGAATTGCAGGACATACACGATACCGGATACTTTTCGGCGCAGCCCTCGCTCGAGGATCATTGGCAACAGGTAATTAATCAATTATCATTTTTCCATGAAAAAGCTTTTAGTGGATAACATTTATACCCAGTGGCATGTGTGTTTATACTCGTGAAATACTGCTGTTAGTCATGTGACGGTTTGTTTAGAAAATCAGCAGTCGTGCGTGATTAAAGGTAAACAGCTGAAAAAAAAAGAATGACAAGACTCGTCGCAGTACTTTCGTGTACAGTTTGTCGTTCTCATTAAGAGTAATTCGTAACATCCGAGTCGTTGCAATGTGTACACATAATATCTTTATGGTAACAATTTAAGTACATCTTACGGGGGCGTCGAAGCGTGATCATTACCGTTACAGTCGCCATTGAATTTCTCTTGTATCTAGACTCATCCTGAGAAATGAAAAAATCAATGAATCAGTGGTATTAAATAGTCGGGAGAAAACATACTGGTTGTTGAGAATTTGAATATCCTCCGTTTTTTATACATCCAGCACACGTGTGTACCATACGTTTGAGTTACGTGAAAGAAGTTGGCGTGGGTGCGTACCGTGCACGTGCACATACCTGAACACAACGCCGGGTTTATTCAAACAGTCCCTCGTGATAACATTTTTTTTCCACGCAAATCAAGCTTCATAAATGCCCAATGAATATTGAACTGAAACCGTAAAATGTAAAAGTTGGCTTTTTTTTTCAGTTCATAAATTTTACTCAGTCTCCTTTGCACTGTCTAGGCTGGCGTTTTTTCCCCCCTCGGCCTGAATAACTCGATAAAATTCCGCGGAAATAGAAGGGGCCGGGGGAAACACAGTTTTATACCCGTGGACATTGAATATTCGATAGTCGAGTGGGAAAATTAAAGTTTTCCCATCCAACGCTACCTGCAATTATTTTTTAAAGAGAGAGAGAGAGTGAGAGAGAGGAAGGGAAATGGAGAGAGGGAGAGAGTGGCCGATTCGTGAGGTTGGGTGTTCGGTGGGATACGCTCTTCATTCTATATGCAATTTTCCAGATTGGATATGGGCGGTACCCTATTCAAGCTTGAATGCAAAAATTAAATCAACCCCTCAGTTCCGCTCGAAAATGCACGCACTTTACTCATCCCATATCCACCCCAATTCACTTTACAATTCGATTATCATAAGACATTTCTCGAAAGCCTCCTGCTCAACTGTTTAGCTATTATTGAATTACTCGGAAGTTAAACAATACTGTAAAATGAAACAGTAGCGATTCAAAATATCATCAAACTCGCGCGATAATTCACGCCGATGAAATAAAAATACACCACCATGTAATATACAAAGGGAAACACAGAGAGAGAGAGAGAGAGAGAGAGAGAAAGAGAGAAAGAGAGAGAGATATAGAATACGGCGAGGGGTGGCTTCGATGAATGGAAGAACTGACGTAACTTGCTTTTGTCTCGTACACGATGTGAACCTGCAGCCGTAGAGCGGTTTTCACCTGCCGGCTGTTCATTCCATTTTACCTTTCCATTCCCAACTCTACCTCCCGTCGCAAAACCATCCCTTCATCTTTCATTCGCTTCGACCGTACGGTATGCAATGGAATGATAAAACAATGGGCCAGAGTTTTACAATAGTACACCGGTATGGGAGAGAAAGATGCGCATCGGGCAGTGTTTTAAGCGCATTGGAAGGGCATTTGCTCCAAATGCGTTTCGCCCTATTTTCCTCCATCTCCTTTCCTATCTGTCATCGACAATGTCACATCATTAATGTCCCCCGAAGTTGGTCCCTTAATTACCCCATTAGGTTGCGCTGAAAGAGTCTTGTTGGCTTTCCCGTAATGATGGAATACCCACTTGAGCAATCGGATTGGACTAATGAGTGGCGATTAAAGTATTTATGAAAACTTTGATCGGAGCCATCGATGAGTTTAGTTAGTGCAGGCATGCGAAAGGATAATGATGCTCAAAACGACCGCAGAATTTACCGGAGCAATGGATCCTGGGGATACCCACGGCAGTGGTAGTGGTGCCCCAATGTTCGGTCTGGGGCGCGTTCAATTTGTTTTATCGGTTCCCTCTGTTTTCCCTCCACGATTACTCCCTCACAGAGTCCCTAGCATAGGTACCTTTCTCACCAACACCAATATATACCCCCAAAACATAACCCCCATTGCTCCACGCTACTTTACTTTCGTCTCTCTTCCTTGCACGTAAAATACAATCTGTATCGTCATTCGAGCTGTACTAATTCGAGCGTTACTATCTACGTGAATTATCCCCTTTTGCCCCTCGTGTTTCGCGTGCAATGAATCCTTCGGTATTAAACCAATGGATTTGTCTACCGGGAATAATATTGGAGGGGAAAAATGGTGTATTTGTCTTGCTCCATTAATTCACTGCATGGTGAATTTAAACGAAAATTCTTCCTTTCGTTTCCTTTCTTTAATGCAGATTAATTGTTATGAATTACCTCAACCCCCTTCACTGGAATAAGCGCACGGTCTTTCTGGGCTCTTTGTTTGTTTACACAGGGGAGCAACACCGGTGGATTTTATTTTTAGAATATATCCAACTTTAAACAAACAGAGATCTAATTTTAGTCCCTAATGTACAGGCTCGCGCTTAACGCGCTGCATTGACATGAAAAATTATTTCTGAGAGAGAACATTTATGCTTGGGGATAAAGAAATTCATTCATCTACTGAAAAAATAGGTACATCTCCTTCTGAATAATTACGATTCAGGGCGGGAGACAAATGTTTTGGATTCCACTGTCTTGTGCAGCACGAAATTTTTTTCTAATATTGCAATTTCTATTTGACTCCTGATTTTATCACAAAGTCAGGGTCAACATTACTTCCGAGCCTATCCATTTTACAATGAATAAACATTAGCAAAAATTCAATTAGGAATTGCTGAAGTACTATGGACACCCATTATGGACACCCATAAATAGATAAGTTAATAAGTATTTAACAATTAGTCCATTCATAGTAAACTATTTTACAAAATCACTAATAATAATTTCCATTATTTAATGAGGTTAAAATTCGAAGTGGCTATCAAGGATGTTTTTAATACTAAATTTTTCATGTCGTTAAACACTGAAAAAATGATTATTTTCGAAACCAATTTATTAACATTGAATCTAATAATAATAAAATAATTTTCAACAATAACATTCGACAGTCTTAATTGCTATTACAAACATTTAAATAAATCCATGTCTATATTATATTTATATTTTTTCTACCGGGCGGGATATTTCCAGTTTTTTAAAATTGAGAAGAGGATGTTTTCGTGTTTAAGTCAGTCTTCTTTGTTTATAATTTTTTTTCTCCGGTTTAACTCGTTGGAGTTGTGACGAGAATTTCGGAGAATGGATTCTGCAATTATCCTGGATAATTCTCAAAGTTTTCCCGCTCAATGCATATTTAGTTTTATTCGGAGTGTTTTTGGTGGAGCAATGGGGGTTGGGAGGGTTGTGGATGGTCAATCGTATGCCACCTGCTGCGTCTGTATAGTCTCACTGAAAGCCAACTTTCGCTAGTATCGTGTGCTGGTTAAGTTTAATAGCACACGGAGCCTAATTTTAGTCGGGTCGAATACATCATACTACGTGGGAAGCCTGAAGTGGGCAGGGGATATTCGCCTTGAGGCCTAAGGCCTCTCGTGTAATCCTCCTATTCATTTTCCAGAGTGAAAGATTCTACTTATTCCCCCATTTTTTTTTTACTCTTCTTATTTCACTCATTCCTGTCTCTCTGGATATGAATTTTTTATTCTGCCTTCTGCTGGAGTTTCAGTTTATTTTTTTTGATTATTTTCTTTTATATCTCCAGTGACATTGCCACTTTTTCATTTCGTTTTTAATGGTCTGCTGGATAATAAGATAGAGAAATAATGTAAGTTGATGGGCGTAGGGATGATGAACATAGGAAAAAATGTACAGTTGAGTCCTGGTGAATCGGGGTGGATTGAATTGCACTTCATTAAGCTCCTCTTTCACCTTCTCTGGCCATTCCTGGGCTCTCGTCCTTATTAATGGGTTTCCCTTCACCCCTTACACTCACCCTCTTCCCATTCTTCACTAATCTCAACTTTTATATTGCCAATTGCTTCATGAGCTTCTCGATATTACCATCATCCATTTTCATTATATCGAAATAAATTAGTGCATTCTTAGGGACTAATCAAATTCAATGTTGCCTTCCATCTTCTACTTTTAATACCACTCTAAGATGGACGTTTCCATTTTTTTCCAACCATCGTCCTCTCTTCCTGGAACGTTGTTAATTCCTTTTTTTTTTCTCTCCCTCACCCTCTCTCGTTTTCAACTCGCATCCACTAATCCGACTTCTAGGGACCCATTGCTCCCTGTCAACTTATCTCTCCCTCTTTTTCCTTCCCTGAGATGGTTTTTTTATGCCCCCTCCTCTTTTTTTTTCACCATGCCCTCTTACTCAGACCTTTTGCCACCCCTTTCATTATTCGCTTCGCGTTTTGCCTCGTCAGACGTTCGCGAGAATAAATAAAAATTTAAGACTGCAGAATAACATCGGACCGGGCGTATCAAAGTAATTCCTCTATTTTTTTAAGTGACAATGTGAATTTTTGGTGCCTTTTGCCTCGCAATTTTTACCAATATTCAGATTTTTATTTATACTTCTCCTTGAATTTTCTGTTCACGTACTGTTCTTCCCCTGCACATTCTGGTATTGACAGTTTTTTGTTGGCGCAGACACTTGTTTCTTTAGTCTATCAATATCTTTAACTGTTGATAGTTTATCTGTAACAGAAAAAAATATTCTTGTAAAAATATTCTAGGTGTTGTATCACTACTCAATTGATTAAGTTTTTCGAACCTTGTGTCGTAAATTATGATGGCTTGATTCATTCACCGCGCTCATCCCTATTTAGAATCAGTTGGGATGGAGTCAGTAATAAATTGGCTTGTCCGTTTTTCAAATAAAAAATCAGTTTTGTTATGTACTAATTGGTGATATCTGGGCATCGCTTATCATTAATTTTGCTTTGGCGGAATTGTTCCCCGGAAG